CAATATATGTATATTTATAGTATGCATAGTTTACTATTCCCAACCCCTCCAACACACTTCCTATTGCTTGGTGGGAATATTTCACAATGAATAAAAATGAAGGTAGGTCCTGGTTCTGAGATTGGGAACCTTTTCACTGGTTTATAGCAATAGCAGTTAGACTTATATACCGCTTCATAGGGCTTTCAGCCCTCTCTAAGCGGTTCACAGAGTCAGCCTATCGCCCCCACAGTCTGGGTCCTCATTTCACCCACCTCGGAAGGATGGAAGGCTGAGTCAACCTTTCAGCCGGTGAGATTTGAACCGCTGAACTGCAGATAACAGTCAGCTGAATTGGCCTGCAGTACTGCACCCTAACCACTGCGCCACCTCGCTAATCTCCGTGGCTCCCAACAGTTGCATATTAAAGCAGAATAACCACCGTCATATGACACCTAGAATTCAAATCTTACTTTATTTATGTTTTTCGTCTGTTCTTCTGGTTGAAAGTAACTTGAAATTGTGGCAGTGTAAAAATGCAATCCCTCCATCCTTCAGGCAAGCAAGCGGCGTTTTCCCGTAATTATCAGTCAGCACGGCCAGCTATAGTGGTGAGAAAATGTCTTTTAAGATGAAAAAGGATTATATTCCCTTCAGGCCTGATCTCATCATTCAGCTCAATTAGATCTGAGCAGAGAAGATCAAGGGTCAATCCTCCAGGTTTACGCCCCATTGAGCAATTATGGATTCTGAGGCTTTCACAGAAATGGCTTTCAAATATTTGTATTTCTCTCAACAGTCTTTACATGTTGAAAGTGCCAAGGCAAGGCGTGGTAAGCTTTGCACTGACATGCACCCACTTCTCCTGCAGTTATCTAAGTCAGCTCCCCAGACAGAGCTGTAAATTTCCAGCACTTTCCAGCAAGATACGGAAGACGTTTATTGTATAATGGAAGGCTTTTGGGGAGCTGGCGTAACATTCTTGTGACTGAAGAACCCTCTTGAACTGTGCAAGTTGCAGTTTTGATGACTCAGCAGGGAGTTTCCTTACCTGGATATAGAGTCATGCCAATAAACAGGTTCGCCACTGTCTTGGGTGGGTGTGGCATTACAAAATCTTTTCCTTGGCTAGAAACAGGGTGGGGAACTTGGCAGTTGCAAGGAAAGCAGTTTTCTATATTTCTCTCGCTTGGTGTGATTGATGTTTTGCAAAAATAAATTCGACCTTTGAAGTGCAAGCATTGAATGAGATCTCTTGAGGGGTGTTCTTTTTTTAACAATGCCTGTTTCACTGTTGGTCATATGAAATGAGGATGGCAATAGCAATAGCAATCGCAGTTAGACTTATATACCGCTTCATAGGGCTTTCAGCCCTCTCTAAGCAGTTTACAGAGTTAGCATATTGCCCCCAACAACAATCCGGGTCCTCGTTTTACCCACCTCGGAAGGATGGAAGGCTGAGTCAACCTTGAGCCGGTGAGATTTGAACAGCCGAACTGCTGAACTGCAGTCAGCTGAAGTAGCCTCCAGTGTTGCATTTAACCACTGCGCCACCTTTCATTTGTAAGTCTATGGCTGTCCTCTATTTACCAGAAAACCATCTATATTTATTCCTACCATAAAAAAGGGGGGGGGAGGCAGGAGAGGAGGAGGAGGGAGGGAGGAACCCTGGACAATGATTACCTTCCTTGTATTTGATTACCAACCCTATTTGAGAGTCTCTATGGACATGTTTGTTTATATAGTTTCTAGAAACCATATTCTTCCTCTTTTGGACTGAAATTAGATACCATAAAATAAGTTGCTCATTTATAAACTTGAATCCCCCTGTACATAGAAACTATTCTCTTACACACTAGTTGACGCTCCACATATGCTTTAGAAAGGTATACGCCATGGCATACACATAACTGTACTTCCTTTGTTTCTTCTGAAAATAACTGATATGGAAATCTGCAACCTGGGTGTCCTCCTGGACTCGCAGCTGACGTTAGAACACCACCTGTCGGCTGTG